TTTTAATTTACTTATTCATAAAATATTTCAAAAAAAAAAATCAAAATTTCCGAGCCGACCCGGAACCGGCCCGGATAGGCCCGGAACCGGCCCGAACCGGCGGGCCGACCCGGCCCGCTGAACCGCCCATACTACGGGCCGGTTCCGGTTCCGGAAAATGTGAACCGTGAACCGGTTTGAACCGGCCCGGAACCGGCCCAGAACCGGCCCGTGGCCGGGTCTACTGATGAGGATGATTTAGATGCAATGTATATATAAGCTCAAAAGAAAATATAATTAAATAAATAAATGAAGAAGCCCTACCGATATACTACATATGTCCCATCTTATTTTTCTTATGGAGAGATTCTTTTTCCCAAATTATTGGTTATTTTACAATTCCAATGAAGTATTAATTGCATTGTTTTTCATTTTATCCTTTTATACTCTTAATTAATTATGAAAAATAATTTATCACAAGAATATTTTGGTGGTCTCTTGTGTTTGTTGCTATAACCCTTGCACATTTTTTTTTGGTAATAAAGGAACCCACAGTCAACCGTATACGTGCACTGGTTAAATAACTTACAGTCTCGTATAATAACTTGGAAATCATACGAGACACGTAAACCACACTAGGCTAAACATGTGAGACAACTCAAACTAGCGACCGTGGTCAAGGGCCGGGGATTCAAAATTGGGTCAATTAACACCTGTTCACTTGCTCCAATAACTAAAAAAAAAAAAAAAAAAAAAAAAAAACTACATATAATGCACGTGAAGCTCTTTCAGGTGCCGTCGACATGTCAATTGGGCAAAACCCCATTGATCCTGCACTCGCAGTGAAAAGCGGCCGTTTAGCCCAGCTTCCGCCACTATTAGACGCGACCGATGCGTTTATCGGTGCAATCAGCTCGTTTGATCGATCCGACCGACCCACATTACTCAACTCACGTAGCCTACGCGAATCTTGCACTGAGATATACATTAAATGATCATCGACGTTAGTGCAAAAAAAAAAAAAAAACTAAAAATCGAGAGATGAAACGAGAAAACGCCGATGAAGTATATATTAATTGGAGGTCAATACTTTCCTTCCACTAATTGGAAGTCATGGATTTTTGCATGTTGGGCAGCCATGCAGGAATCACGAATAGCACAAGCTTCAGCTACAAGGGCATCCATGCAGACATAGTGGTTTGTGGAAGCAAAGATAATTGATCCATTATAGTTCCTGAAGGTGGAAGAGGTGGTTGCTTTCCCATTAATGAATGCAGCATCTGAGTTTATAATTTGCCTTGAGCCAGCCCAATGGAGGCTTTTTCCCAATCTTGGCAAATGTCTTTCCCATTCTTGATCCTTATCAACTTCTGTGATTTTCAGTGGCTAGTTGTGCATGATTCCACCATTGAGGTGAAAAAAGGGGAACCATGAGAAATTATTATTACAAGTCATCCAAATAGTATCAAAAAGAGCACCCCAATTAATAATAAATTCATCACAAAGTTGAGGAGAGTGACGGGAGAAACAAGGTTTTTTAAAGAGCAAAGATAGATCCAATCCTTGAGAGAGAGATTGATTACACGCTTTGATGATGCTAATATTAGATCATCTTTGAGAGTTGAGATAGGATGAGCTGGAAGAAAAGAGTGGATCGCTGACTCACGAGCTTAATGACTTTGAGATACCTGCGATCATAGAACACGTGAACTAGGTCGGGATGATCCGACGGAAATCCCTCCGACGCTCAAGTCAGACGTGCGGATAGTATAAATGGTTCAGAGAATACAGTTGGTAGTATTACTCAGATAATATGACGTTACATAAGGAATGAGTTCAAACATTTATTTATACCTCATTGATTGGGCTGAAGTTTAATTAGTTGAGATTGTCGGGCCAAAACCTTGTTCAAAGGTGATTGGGCCTCGGTAGTAGTGATCTTCAATATTGAGCTCGTGACCCAATAAATAAAGAAATTGTAGGCCTATTGAGTTGGCCCAATTAAGCATATCACGCTTCAATACTGAGGTTCCGTATGGAGTTAAACCAAATTTTCTTGGTAAGGGGATCGTGGAGGAAGAGGTGTGAGATACTATCATCTTCAGCTTTACAAAGATGGCAATGGATAGAATAAATAGGGAAAATGCAGCTTGCTTACTTTAATTTGTAGTTGATAATTGTAATTTGTAGATTGTAGTTAATTATTGTAATTTGTAGTTGATTATGATTTTAGTAAATAAAATAAAAAAATTAAAAACATCTTTTAATTTTACCACTATATATTTTACCATTTTCAGTCACTTTTATGTGGAAAATTTTGGTTTTTTTTTTTCTCCAAAACATCTAATTGCTTAATTTTTTTATTTTTCTGAATAAAACTTTTTTTTTTTTTGTCATTTTGAGTTTCATCATTTTTTTTTCTTAAATGTCTTCCGATAGTTCTAACATCCTAAGATTACAAACATCTTTACAATCCTAATATTGAGAATTTGAATTACCAGAAGACATTTAAGAAAAAAATGAAGAAATTCAAAATGACAAAAATAAAAGGTTTTATTCAGCAAAAAAAAAATCTAAGTAATTAAATATTTTGGAGAAAAAAATAAAAATATCAAAATTTCCCAAGTAAAATTGACCGAAAATGTTAAAAAATATAGTGAAAAATGGCTCAAACAAACCCTTAAAATTATAGGCTTAACAATGGTATTTTCGTCAGATTTTGGAAAATAGGAGAGTTTTTGTATTTATGTATAATACAGAGAGGCAGATATACAAAGTCCATAGTACATGGGTGTTTTTTTATTTAACCCTAAAGTTTAATGGGATTTTTATGCAAAAGTCCCCAACCAAGCATGTTTATTATTCTAGGTATAGGGGACATATCTCTTTCACCAATAAGCCCATCCCTTTAATATTTATTATAACTAAAGGAAACATTCATGTATATCCCAATATTACCCTCAATCATTTATACCCAATTCTTAATTGTAATCCAAATTAATCAATTTTGTCCATAAAAGTTCAATTTTGACCACAAAAATTCAATTTTGACTTTTTTTTGGAGTATAATTTAATATGCTCCAATTTCATCCTTAACTTAATTTAATCTCAATTTGACCCCAAATTTCACAAATTATTAAATTTTGACCCAAAATTTTTTTTTTTTTCAAAAAAAAATTTTTTTTCAAAAACTTTTTTTTGCCGCCGGATTCCGGCGTTGACCGGCGGTCAACGCCGGTCTCCCGCGTTGACTTTTTAAACTTTTTTTTTTTTTTTTTTTTTTCCTTCCGGATTTTTTTTCCGGATTCCGGCGTTGACCGGCGGTCAACGCCGGTCTCCGGCGTTGACTTTTTTTTTTTTTTTTTTTTTTGCTTTTTTCTTTTTTTTTTCTTTTCTTTTCTTCCGGATTTTTTCGCCGGTTTCCGGCGGTCTCTTTCTTTAGTGTTTTTTTAAGTTTTTTTTTTTTGTTTGGTTTGTTTTGTTTTTCCATGCCCGCCGCTACACGTTGACCGTAATTGTGCTGTCACTGACAGTAATTTAGCGTAATTATACTGTCAATGATAGTTAATTAACGTAATTGTACTGCCGTTGACATTACATTTATGTAATTGTGCTGCCGTTGACAGTAAATTAATGCAATATTATATTTTTTTATTTATTATTATTTTTTTTTATTTTTTTTGATTTGTTGACAAGTCAACGTAATTATATTACTGTCGTTGACAGTAAAATAACTGTAAACACAATAATATTACTGTCAACAACATCAATATTATTATTTTTTTGGGGTGTTTGTTTTGTTTGAGTTATTCACGGAGTAACGTATTAATATTACTGTCTATTATTGTAATATTACTGTAAACACAATAATATTACTGTGGTTGACGGTAATATTACTGTTGTTATAGTAATATTCCTGTCAACCACATCAATATTATTATTTTGTTTGGATTTTTTGTTTGTTCGAGTTATTCACGGAGTAACGTAATAATATTACTGTCTACTATTGTAATATTACTGTTGCTATAGTAATATTACTGTCACTCACAGTAATATTAATTCTTTTGGTTTTTTTTATTTTGTTTACATTTGTTGAACGGACAACATAGTAATATTACTTTATTATACAATAATAATGAATTTTGTTGTGTTAATATTAATGTGCTAGAGATTAATATAGCAATATCAATGTGTTAAACTATAGTTTAGTAAATTTTACTGTGTTTAACAGTAATATAGTTAATATTACTGTCATTCACAGCAATATTGCTGTTTAAACGGAAAAAAAAAAAAAGAAAAAAAAAAAAAAAAAAAAATTAAAAAGTCAACGCCGGAGACCGGCGTTGACCGCCGGTCACCGCCGGAATCCGGAAAAAAAATCCGGAAGGAAAAAAAAAAAATAAATAAATAAAAAAAATTAAAAAGTCAACGCCGGAATCCGGAAGGAAAAAAAAATAAAAAAAAAATAAAAAAAAAAAAATAAAAAGTCAACGCCGGAGACCGACGTTGACCGCCGGAATCCGGCGGGAAAAAAAAGTTTTTGAAAAAAAAAAAATTTGTGAAAAAAAAAAAGTTTTGGGTCAAAATTGAATAATTTGTGAAAGTTGGGGTCAAATTGAAGTTAAAGTAAGTTAAGGATGAAATTGGAGCATATTAAAGTAAGAGGGGTTATTTTAGTCATTTACATAAATCTGGACCATGTGTGGACTTATTGGTAAAGGAGAATATTGTCTGGATCTCTTTATGAATAAGTTCCCACTGATGGGCTTATTTGTAATATGCCCAAGTTTAATTAGCTAGAGTTGAAAAAACTGCCACTTTGATAATTAATGAAGTTTGAAATTGAACCAATATTATTCAAGATAAAGCAGCCCCCCTCCAAGGGGAAGGGGGGCGAGGGCCCCCTACATGAAATCAAAGTGAAAATTCATTAATAATTAATCACGATCTCTATGTATATCAGTATAAATATATGTTACTAGATATGGAATCACAGCCTGCCAATTAGTTACAAATAATACTAATTAATTAATTCGTCATGGAATTTATAATTAGCTCTACCACCATCTACGTCATCGCCATATCCTTCATTTTCCTTTTCTACTATTACCGTCTCCGGCTAACCTCTGCGAGCAAAGCGCCGCCGGCAGCTGGCGGCGCACGGCCCTTCACAGGCCATCTCCACCTCATGGGCGGCGGTGGTGGTGGGTCACAGCTCCCCCACATAAAGTTAGCCGCCCTCGCAGATAAACACGGACCCATTTTCACCATCCGTCTAGGGCTCCGCCGCGCAGCGGTGGTGAGCAGCCCAGAGTTGGCCAAAGAGCTGTTCACCGCCTGCGACGCCGCCGTCTCTGGCCGTCCGCAACTAAGGGCCGCCAAACACTTGGGCTACAACTTCGCCATGTTCGCCTTCTGCCCCTACGGTGCCTACTGGCGCGGGGTTCGCAAAATTGTCGCGGCCGAGCTTCTCTCTAACCGTAGAGTAGATCTTCTCGGGCACGTGCGCGTTTCGGAAATTGAAATCTCCATTGACGAGCTTTACAAGCTTTGGGAGAAAAGAAATTCTGAGGGAGTGTTATTATTATCGGTGGAGATGAAGCAGTGGTTCAGCAATTTGAATTTGAATGTGGTCCTCATGATGGTGGCCGGGAAGAGATACTACTACGGTGGAGGAGGAGCGGAGACGGAGACGAGGCGGTGCAGGGCGGTGATGAGGGACTTCTTCGACTTGGCGGGGATGTTTGTGGCCGCTGATGCTTTGCCTTATCTTGGGTGGATGGATTTAGGTGGGCATGAGAAGAGAATGAAGGAGACTGCTAAAGAATTGGACGGAATCGTTGGAGGCTGGTTGGCGGAGCACCGGAAAAGGGAATATTCCGGTGGAGTTGTTGATGATGATGATCGGGATTTCATGGATGTGATGCTGTCAGTTGTACAAAGTGCTAATCTTCAATGTCAGTATGATGCTGATACCATCATCAAAGCTACCTGCACGGTATAATTATACATGCATTCTTATTTAATTACTGATGATTAGTGAACTCGTTTAGTTTTAATAATTGTAATCCTTCCAAAAAATATAACACTAGGAGCCATTAATAATATATATCTTAAGAGATTGAAGATTTTGTTGTCTAAATTTCATCAATTTAATTTTAAAATATGATCAAATTAGTGATACCATGCATGCATGAACTTATAACATAGCAAAAGTCTTTTTTTTTTTTTTTTTTTTTTTCCCTTTTTCTTGAGAAATTAGATGCTATACCTGATTATTTATACTGAGTGTATTTGAATCATGGATTTACATATAATCACACACACACGAATGTACTGTATGTGTAGTTAGTGGGTAGTTATTAATTAATCAAATATACGGTACAAATCAACCCGGTGTAAATAACCAGGTGTAGCATCTAACTTCCCCTCTTTCTTTCGTATTTTCGGAAAAATCAATTTCTAACAAATTAACTAAATTATGTTTATAACATGTGATCAACAATTCTTTGTTAGATTTTGATTGCCGGCGGGAGTGACACAACTACAGTGATGTTGGTATGGATACTCTGCCTCTTATTGAACAATCCTAGTGTCCTAAAAAAGGCTCAAGAAGAAATAGACGAGCAAGTAGGGAGAGAAAGACGAGTAAACGAATCTGATATCACCAATCTAGTCTATCTGCAAGCCATAGTAAAGGAAACGATGAGACTACACCCAGCGGCCCCCTTAGGGGGGCCGCGAGAGTTCACAGAAGACACCACCGTCGGAGGCTACCTTGTTCCAAAAGGCACATGGTTGATAGTCAACGCATGGAAGTTGCATAGAGATCCACGTGTGTGGGGAGATGATGTATTGGAGTTTAGGCCGGAGAGATTTTTGAGTGGGCCCCACATGAACGTAGACGTTAGAGGCCAAGACTTCGAGTTGATCCCGTTTGGTGCTGGTAGGAGAAGTTGCCCTGGGACAAGTTTCGGCTTGCATATGTTGCATTTAGTGTTGGCTAGTTTGCTGCAGGCATTCGATCTCTCCACGGTGTCGTCGAATGAAATAGTCGATATGACTGAAAGTGTTGGGTTGACAAATAGCAAAGCCACACCACTTGATGTTCTTGTTGCGCCAAGACTATCTCCCGGTCTTTACTAGGCCATATATTATCGGTATAACTGGTATTTATCGTCTATGTCGAAAATTTAATTTGTATTTTTTAGAATAATAGACTGGCTATGTTTGTTACCGTTTTCAAATTATTTCCACACTTTTCCCAAAATGAAAATTATCTTTCTACACTATTTTCAAAAACTTTTCCCAAAACAAATTTAAATATTTCTCTCTCTAACAAACATGATTTGACCCCTACAGTGAAAATTGTCTTCACTAAAATACAAAATCAAATCATTTATCTTTTAAATTCTTCTTCCAAAATACCTTTTTCCAACATCTTTCAGACATGATTTGACTTGCTACAGTACAAATTGTCTCCTCCCAAAATACAAACAAACTTTATTTAATTTTCAAATTCTTCTCCCAAAACATCTTTCCCCAAAATAAAATGGAAATGGAAGCCCAAAAGCTTACCAAACACAGCCAGTGTGTTTTTTAATAACAAGGCTTGACTCGGTGAAAGAAAAGAAGTCTTTTGAGTAGTTTTTACTTTTTACATTTTAATTTGGTCGAACTTAAAACTAAGAATAATGGAGTGACTGTATTCACTAATATCGTCAATAACTTATATAGTTTGTACACAAGATTGGATTTTTATAACAATAGAAACTCATATAAAAATTAACTAATCTATACTTTGTGCAGTAAAACACTTTTTTAGCATAAGCATTCAATAATTATACTATAAAAATAATCATCTATTTGATGAGCAAATGCACTCCGAAATCCAAAACTGGGCTCACCGTGTCTATCATTTCTTGGGTAAACAACATGAAGTTCACTTGTGGTAAGGCTACTTTGCACCAAACTTTCTTGTCTTCATTTTATTGCGCAAGTTTGTTTTATTTTTCCTTGCACGAAATTCTATTTAAGTTGTAGAAAGGAATTTCATGCAAACAAAATTGTCATAGAAGGAGATTTAATGCGTGTTTTATGCAAACCAGTTTTTTTCCAATAACATTTCAAACTGTGAAAAAAATGATTAATTTAATAGATGACAACAACAATTATAATAAGAAATAAATAAAAAAAAAATGGCAAACCGTACCATTAAGATAAGGGAGCAAAAATAGATAATTACAAAATTAGTAGTGAAAAAAAATTAAATAAAAAATTATCAGAGAAATGACGTTAGGGTTAAGTAGGATTACCTAGTGTTAATTCATTTATATGTAGTAGTTTTTATGAAGGGATAATTAGCAAGAACCCCTCATCTAGGAAAATGAGTTAAGAAAACACCCCCTCCCAAAAATAATTAGGGAAAACTCCCTTAGCTAATATCCACCCAAGTGATATTTTTATAATTCCAAAATTACCCTTAATTGTCTATTATACTCTTTCAAAACCCTATCTTCCATGAAGATTATTCTCAAGTGTTCTGTAATCAGAATTTCAGCCAACCTGAAACTGAAGTTCCGAAAAATGGATTCATCGATGCCTGGACGTCAATTGATGATTACAATCTGAATTGCAGCAACGGCGGCGGAAGCAATTTGAATGTGCAGTCTTTGAACGACGGAGATCTGTCGCCGACTTAATTCGCTGAATCTGTCGATCGAAAGTAGGGTTAAGGAGTCGGTATGGTTCGCAGGTGGGGGCCCACTCGGAGAGGCGCTTTCGTCGCCGGCGGCGACCACTGTTTCTTCGCCGTCGGGTGTTCTTTAGAGGACGATGTTTTCGCACTCCGATGGCGGCAGTGTTTGCCATAGCCCTACTGCTTTTGCTGCAGATGCTCCACTCCACTGGTCCAATTACAACTCCCTTTAATTTTCTTTATTTTTATTTATTATTATTAATAATTTAAATATCGGTTTTTTTTAATTTGATTTCTGGGGATTTTGTGTTTTATGTTGGATTAAACAGAAAGTAGGTGGTCCATTTTAAAACATCGCGCAGGGGATTAAACATAAAGTAGGTGGTCCATTGTGGTGGAAGACGGTGCAGAAAAAAAAAATCGCGCAGACAGGGCCCTTAATCGACTACGGTGATTTCAATAGTCGATTAAGGCTTAATCGACTATTGTTAAGGATTGTTTGAATAGTGTGGAAGCATTGGGAATATTTGAGTTTTTCTTCATATCTGTATTTTTGGGTTTTGAGAAACTTACGGATTTCATGTTTTTATTTAGTTTTATATAAGAAGAGAAAACACTGATAAGAATTTAGTCTGGTGATGATATGGTGTGGCGGCGGCGTGGTGATAGGAGGCGGATTTTGGGTTTTTTGGTGGATTAGGCGGAGGACGGCGCGTGTAGAGAATTTCGCGCATGCTGAAACCTTATTCGACTATGTACATATTCATAGTCGATTAAGCTAATCGACTATGCTCTGATAGTCGATTATGGTTGATCGTCTCTAGTTTTTTTTTTTTTTTTTTTTGGATTTGTTGTTTATTGATTCCAGTTGTATAAATTATTTGTAATGTTTATGTTTGGAAACTTGGAGTGGATTGCCTCAATTGTTTTCGATCACACACCTATCTTTCTTGGAGGTAAACGCATATATGTACATGCAGATTTTTTTCTTGCTTCTTGCTAATTAAGCTAATTTCTAGTCGGTGGGTCTAGGGCGGAGATCGAGGCATATTTTCGATGAAGTGTGGCGGAAGTCTGCGGCAGATCTCGAGGCTTAATCGACTACGTTTTTGTATGAATTATTTTTTTATCTTCTTGTTAGGGATTGGTTGAATAGTGTGGTGTGACGGCGATGGAGAGACAAATCTAGGGTTTTTTGGTGGATCGGGCGGATGACGGTTCGGATAGATAAATTCGCGCATGCTGGAACCTTAATCGACTACGTACATGTTCCATAGTTGATTAAGCTAATCGACTATGCTCTGATAGTCGATTAAGGTTAATCGACTCCAATTTTTAATATTTTTTTGGATTTTTTGTTTATTGATTCCAATTGTATATTTTTTTGTTTTTGAAAATATTTAATTTTGTGTTTTTGTAGTTGTGATTTGTTACTTTTAGTACTCAATATTCCTTAATCGACTGTGCTTCATCATAATCGATTAATATGCTTCATTGACTCCAATTTTTAATTTTTTTTGGATTTTTTTTTTAATTTATTCCAATTGTATAAATCAATTATAATCTTTGTATATTTTTTTTTTGTAAAATATAGTTGAGTTTGCATTTTTTGGGAGTTCTGATTTGTTATTTTTAGTAGTCGGTTCCTTAATCGACTATGATTCATCATAGTCGATTAATATGCCTCATAGTCAATTAATATACATGATAGAAAAGAAAAAGTTAAAAAACGAAAAAAAAAAATTAATTTAAAAAAAAATAACAGAAAAAAAAAAATACAAAAAAAAGAAATAATAAAATAATAATAATAAAAATTAAAATTAAAAATAAAATAAAAAATAATGAAAAAGGAAATAATAAAATAATATTAATAATAAAATAATAAGAAGAAGAAGTAAAAAAAGAAAAGACAAAAAAGAAAAAAAGAAAAAAAAAAGAAGAACATGACTGATGGGCTCATGCGCGGATAGTGGCTCATGGGCGGAAATGAGATGGCAAAAAAGGACATAATTGGAAAATTTGGTGGTTGAAATTGAGAGTGGGTTTTTCTCAAATGGTGTAAAATAGTTTGAGCCTCCCTCCATTAAAAAAAGTAATAAGGGGGTTTCCTCAAAGAGCCCCTTTTATGAATAAGTCTCGCCAACTATATTTCTTATTCCAGATTTATAAGCTATATTTTAAGTCCATCCCTTTAATATATACTATAAATAAAAACAAACTTAATATGACAATATTACTCTCAATCATTTAAACCAAATTCCTAATTGTAACCCCATTTTAACTTCAATTTCATTAATTTTGACCACAAATATTCAATTTTAACTTTTCTTTTTGCAAACATGTTTTTTGCCGCCTGTTTCCATCGTTGATCGCTGATTCAACCAACTAAGTTGATGGATCTTCTAGATCCGAATATGTTGGTGGATCTTCTAGATTCTGCAAATAAGAACACAGACAAGGAAAATCGGGCTGAGGCCGGAGTTAGAACTCCGACGATCAAGTCAGTATATTTCTGGTTTAAGAGATACTGAAGAATAAATTGTATGTTTTTTGGTTTAGAAAAAGGATGATCCTCAGTTGAATCAATCTCTTACTATTTATAGGAAGAGCTTCTAAGAACGGACTCCAAATACGGATTCCACTTCTATTTTAGTTGTCACCTCAAAATTAGTCCAGACTTCCAATGACTATTAAATTAAACTTACCTGTCTTCTCGGTGAACAGTGTTATGAACAGTGTTGTGAGCTGCTTATTCCCTAGACTGCATATTCTCTGACATCTTTAACACTTGAGGAGAGGAGCATTAAATACGAGTTGATTGTCTCAGATCTCATAGACCATATCTTGTAACTCTCGCCTTTGCCTTCTCGCTACTGAGAGAACGACTCACCTCTCGCACCCGCGATCGTCTTTCGATTAGGTTTCCTAGATAGGCCCAGAACATTGATTTACCAAATCATCTAGTCTGTATATTCTCTGCTATTGCTGACATTTGAGAAGACATGCATTAAATGTAAGTCGGCGGCACTGATCCTCTTTATGGACCATATCTACTGTTCCAGTCCTCTCCTCTCGCATGGGAGCTCGTCCTTTCTCTCGACCACAATTGGGCTCCCGCGAGATTTCAATTATTGGGCCCTTACCGGGCCTTCCTTTAATGGGCCAAAGTTTAACTTTTACCGAATCAACTAGCCCCCTGCTCGCGGGGACAGATCTAAAGTCCTTCGCGAGTATGTTTTCCTTCATCGACCCCAAAATAATTGGTAAATTAAAAATATACCTATTTTCCTTGTCTTTTAGTCTTCTTTTATTTATTACTATTATTATTTTATATATATATATATATATATATATATATATATATTTTGGTTACACTTCCCAAAGTTGCGGCTCCTCACCCGAGGAGACACCCGTCTTTTCGACTTAAATGCGACGGCTGAACTGCCCTGGGTAACCGTGCAGCCGTCGCTTCATGTTACTCCCTCCCCTGTTATAAATACCCCCTTCTTCCTCATTTCTTCACTTTTCTCTCCTTTGCCATTTCTTCCCCTTTTCCGGCGTCTATTTCTTCCCCCACCGACGATTTTTCCGACCCTCGTTTTATTCACCTTTTCCCTTCAAATACCTATGGCTTCCTCTTCTTCTTCGTCTGGAGAGGCTCCTCCTCCTCCCTCTGCAGTTGGCTCCTCACGCGCCGCCGTGTCCAAGAAGAAAAAGAAAATAGTAACCTCCAAAGTGCGTGGTAAACGCTCCTCTCGCAAGGCCGGGGAGGTAGGTGGACCTGCTCCCCCCCTATCCCAAGGTCGCGGAATCATCCGCGAACCTAATCCGAGGGAACCCACTTTATATATCCCCTCTGTCCCGGTCAAATCCATTCTTACTGCCGACGACATAGCCGATCTTCTCGTCCGCCAAGGTTTGGATGTGTCTTACGACATAGCCCTTCTGGACCCCTCTCAAGATTCTTTACACCCTCCACTCGGCTTCAGTACCTGGTACTTGGATCAATTTCTTGTGGGCTTATCCCTGCCTATTCATCCTTTCTTCTTTGCAGTAGCGAACAAATATAAAGTCCCCCTTAACCAATTTCTCCCCAATTCGATCAAATTCATGTCCGCCTTTTTTATGATTTGTCTCGAAGCAGGCCTCAACCCAACTGGCGATCTTTTCCATTCAGCGTTCGTCATAAACCACTCCCCTTCAGGCTTTTTCCATTTAACCTCTCGCCCTAGATTGGGACTTTTTAGCGGGTTGTCCAACAAAGTTCAAAATTGGCCTCAAAGATTCTTTTTTGTTCGCCCCCCTTTTCCAGAGGTTTTTCCAACCTCTTTTCTGTTAGATTCCCCGACACCCGTGGCTGTGTCGGAGGGATGTAAGCCGTTCCTCGCTCATTTGGCCGCTCGCGCCCCTCCTGAGCGATGGGACGTTGAAAAATTGATTGCCACCCCCCCCCCCTCTTTTTACTCGCTCCGACCTTTGGGCCATGTCTTGCCCCGACTCCCGCTCTCTTGGTACTTTTATTCCCCCCTTCATTTACTGCATGACGTAGCTGTATCGTTCATTTACCTGATTGTTTTCTTTATGTAGGCGAGATGATGCGAGAGGCTATGAAGGCGGCCTTAGCCAAACAACGCGCACAGTCTTCCTCTCGCCAAATCTCAGAATCCACCAGTCATGCTCCCTCCACCCGACAGCCCTCTCCGGACAGAGCCGTGACAAGCGCGGCTCAAGGCGCTTCCTCCGTCCCCCCGCGAGCTGCGACATGGGAGCCTATAATCCAGCATGGCAGCGAGAACACTGCCCAGGGTGTGCCCGATCTCTCGATTTCTGCCGAGAGGACTCCCTCGGGCTTGGGGGGTCCAAAATCTCTGTGCATGCCGGAGAATGAAGGAACTTCTCTTGCTTCCAAACGCTCTCGCATCCGGGAGGGTGGTTTCTTGCCTTCTTATCACCCTGATATTCCCATGGGAGACCTGTTCCTGCATTTTGACCAGCTGAGGTGTGCCGAGGATGCTCAGGCTCTTGAGCGGCTGTCTCTCGAGCAAAAGCATGCTCGTCTATTATTTCATGCTTCTCAAGTAAAACCACATTCTTTCTTTATAGTTTTATCGAGACGACTTACTTCATTGGAATATTTTTTCCCATATGTTGTCGCTCTTAGACTTCATGCTTTAACTTCTTAGATGAACGTGCTTCTGGCTCATGGCTTTGGTGCGGACGAGACCTCTCATCAAAACGAAATCAACCGCCTTAAAAAAGAGATCAACGAGAAATCCTTGGAGGTGATCCAGTTGCGGGATTATGCTCGCCAGCTGAAACAAGCCAAGGAGAATTCAGACGAGAAGGTTCAGACGGAAGCCCAGAAATCAGACAATGGCTAGAGGCAGAAAAAGAACAGACAATGGCCGTGGCTCGCGAGACCACGAAGAATATGGAGATAGAATGCATCCGCGCAGTAGCGCACGAGAGGGCAAAAGGGTTGTACGATACTCTCTGCTCGCCGAGTGGGCAGCATTTTCTATGCAAGTATCGTGAGGCCTTAATCAACAACTATCCCCTGTCGATGCATTTTGCCTCCAAAGCGGCCTCCATCGGAGTCGGTTATTTCGAACGCGGGATTCGTCTGTATGCAGAGAAGAACGGCTATCCTGACCCTACTGAAGTCATAGGCTACTTGCTCGATCAGCTTGGTGACGAGATTCCCGGGTGGGAGGGCAACCACGAAGAACCACTCGATCATGATTGGTGGTCTCGGGTCCTTGAGGAGATGCTTGCTTCCCTCAACCGTTATGCATCTCACGCTCCTTCGATAGTGGCTCAAATGGACTCGGGCCACCCTTTCACCTCTGATCCTCCTGGCTCAGCCCCCGCTCTTGCGGCTTCCGCACCAACAATGCTTGCCGAGCCCCCAACTGTTATTGAGCGGGATCCTCCCCTTTTTTATTTATAAGTATTCGTTTTTTTTTTTTTTTTTTTTTTTTTTTTGTATCGAGAACTCTGAGCTCGTGTTTGCTTAATTCTTTTTCCTAGGATCCATAATCCCTAAAATTCATGGTCCTCAAATTTCTTCGAGGATCCTTTTCGAATCTGGGCTCTCGCAATATTCATGACTCTCGAATTCTATCGAGAATCTTATAAAGCTTATGTTCTCGCAACCTCTATTTTCCTCGAATTCTATCGAGGATTTTCTGAGCTCGTGCTCTATTTATTTTCATGGCTCTCGACTTCTGTCGAGGAGGTACCCTTTTCCTGGACTCATGTCTTGATGTGTTTCAATTTATGCAAGTATATCAAAAAGAGACCCTCGGATTCTATCGAGGATTTCTCTGAGCTCGTGCTCTATTTAATTTCATGGCTCTCGACTTATGTCGAGGACCCTTTTCTTGGACTCATGTCCTGATGTGTTTCAATTTGTGAAGTATATCAAAAAGAGGCCCTTTCGTATTGTGTTGTTACGAGGAAAACTGTCCGTCCCTCGTATGTGGGACAAACTACAATACGAGCCCTATATCTACAAAATATAAGTTCCAAAATACGGGATGTTCTATCATATTTCCCGTGTTACACATAATATTTTTTCAAATGACAAACATTCCAAGCACGCGCCACCTGCTTTCCTGACATATCTATTAGCATATACGCTCCTCCTGCGAGAACCTTTTCCACTTTATATGGCCCTTCCCATTTCTCCATCAACTTACCCACCTGTTTTAATGCATCAGCCTGCCTAAGGACCAAGTCCCGTACCTGGAATGATCTCGCCTTCACCTTTCTATCGTACGCAGCCTTGATTCTCGCTTTATTTATCTCCATTCTGAGCCTCGCATCCTCTTGCTTCTCCAATATTAGGTCCAAGTTTTCTCGTAAGCGCTGACTATTAGCCGTTTGTTGGAAGTTCATAATTCTACTCGACGGAATTCCTATCTCGACAGGGGCCACTGCCTCCGACCCATATACTAGCGAAAAGGGGTTGTCCCCAGTTGATTCCTTCCGTGCTGTTCGGTATGCCCATAGGACAGCGTGTAATTCCTCCACCCAATTTCCTTTGGCGCTTTCTAACCGCTTCTTTATCCCCTCGAGTATTATCTGGTTAATCACCTCTACTTGGCCATTCGCCTGCGGTTGTGCCACAGCAGCAAACCGCTGTACTATTCCTAAACCCTCGCACCATTCTCGTATCTTTTTTGAGTTGAACTGTGTGTCGTTGTTTGACATGATGTTTTTTGGCAACCCATAACGACAACAGATATTCTGTCACAAGAACTTCATAATTTCTGTATCTGTGATTTTGGCCACTGCCGTGGCCTCGACCCATTTGCTGAAGTAGTCTACTGCGACTACCAAGAATTTTCTTTGACCACTAGCGAGCGGCAGCGGTCCTACAATAGCGATCCCCCACTGTGTGAATGGATGTGGTGCGGTGATGATCGTCATATCCTCTCCCGGAACATGGATTAATGGCCCGTGTTTTTGGCATTTATCGCATTTTTGGACAAACTGCATCGCGTCCTTCCTCATGGTTGGCCAGAAGTACCTGCTCCTCAGAACCCGTGTAATTAGGGCCCTCCCCCCAACATGATCGCCACAACATCCTTCATGGATCTCTCGCAATACGTACTGGCCCTCTTGTATGCTGAGACATCGTAGATGCGGTCTTATGTATCCTCTTTTATACAGAATATCTCCGTCGAGACAAAAATGCTTTGCTCGTTGACTCAATCTTGCTATCTCTCGCGAACTCCCCTGATTCCTATCCAGCAGATAATTCTTTATTTCCGCGCGCCAATCCTGTACCTCCGTCACTCCCCATATTTCGTGGCCGACACTCAAAGATGGTTCCCCTATTATTATCTGAACTTTTCGCGATTCGCAGCCTACATCCATGCTTCCTACTTTGGCCAAGAAGTCTGCTCTCGTATTCTCTTCTCTCGGAATTCGCCTCAGGTCTACCCCGTCAAATTCCTCCATAAGGACTCGCGCTATCTCGCAATAATTGTTCATTCTGTTGTCTTTGGTCTCGAATTCTCCTTTTATCTTTTGGACTATTAATTGAGAATCTGAAAACATGGTCACTCTTCTCGCACCTGCTATCGCGGCCAGTTTCAGACCATGTATCACTGCCTCATACTCTGCTTCATTATTGGAAGCTCGGAAGGGTAATTTGATCGCGTATTCTGCTTCCTCATCCTCGCCTATCTTGTGCAATATGACTCCTGCTCCACTTCCCATCGAGTTAGAAGCACTATCCACAAATATCCTCCATCCTGCCACCTCATTGGCCCTCGTAGTTTCTTGTAGGAAATCTGCCAGGGCTTGCCCTTTGATTGCTATGCGGGACTCATAATCTATGTCGAACTGCCCGAGCTCGACTGCCCATTTCACCATCCTTCCCGAGACATCAATCCTTCCTAGCACCGTCCTCATTGGATGGTTAGTTCAGACGACTATAGTATGCGAGAGGAAGTAAGGTCGTAGTTTTCTAGTTGTAGTTACTAATGCTAGACCAATTTTTTCAATTTCGGTGTACCGCTCCTCCGGCCCTCGCAGAAGCCTACTCGCATAATACACTGGACTTTGTTTCCCCTCCTCCTCACGAATCAGAACGGAGCTTACTGAATATTTGCCTACGGACAAATATACGTACATTTTTTCTCCCGCTTTTGGTTTGGTCAATAATGGCAACTGCGCGAGCATTGCCTTTAATTGGGCAAAAGCGACCTCCGATTCTTCTGTCCACCTGAACTCAGCACCTTTTTCTTAATATTTTGAAGAAGGGGTAGCTCGCCTCGCCGGACCTAGATATAAATCTGCTTAAAGCCGTGATCCTTCCCGCCAGCGTCTGCACCTCTTTAATGCTCCTTGGCGCCTTCATGTTGATGACCGCTTGTACCTTCTCTGGGTTCACCTCTACTCCCCTTTCGGTGACCATATAACCGAGGAACTTGCCTGTTCGGACACCGAAAGCACATTTATCTGGATTGAGCTTCATTCCATACTCTCGCAAGGTATGGAAAGTTTCTTCAAGGTCCTCCAAATGCGTTCTTGCTTCTTTGCTTTTCACTAGCATGTCGTCCACATATATTTCCATGTTTATTCCCAACTGTGTTCTGAACATCCGATCCATTAGCCGTTGATAGGTCGCTCCCGCATTTTTCAGGCCGAAGGGCATCAACGTATAACAGTAGGTGCCTGTTGATGTGATAAAGCTTACTTTGGCGTGATCCTCTCAATCCAGGGGTATCTGGTGGTACCTTTGGGATGCGTCCATCATACTCAGCATTTCGCACCCTGCCGTTGAGTCTACAAGTTGGTCAATCCTAGGGAGAGGGTAATAATCTTTAGGGCACGCCTTGTTGAGATTCCTGAAGTCAATACACATTCTTCATTTGCCATCCCCCTTCTTTACTAGGACGGCATTGGACATCCAGGTGGGAAATCGTATTTCCCGAATTCGCCCTGCCATTAGCAACTTTTGTACTTCCTCCTGAATTATCCTATCTTTTTCTGCTCCAAAATGTCTTCTCTTCTATTTGACTGGCCTGACCCCTGTTTTGACATTCAATTTGTGAACAACCAATCGAGTGTCGATTCCCACCAAATCCTTTGCGGAGAATGCGAACACATCTTGGTTATTGCGCAAAACTTATGTTAATTGTTCTGCCATCGCAGTATCCATGTCTCTCCCGCTTCTGGTTGTGCGAGTGGCATCCTTACCACATAATTGCACAGTCATCAACTCCTCCATGGGTCGTACGTGGCTGTCCTCTTTATCGGGATCGATTTCAGGACGAGGCTCGTCCTTTTCCATCATGTTAGTTCGCCCACTGTGAATGGCGTATATCCTCCCAGTTCGCCTTAATGCATCGTAATAACATCTTCTCGCAGTCTCTTGGTCTCCTCGCACCTCTCCGATCTGATCTCCCATGGGGAACTTTAATTTTATGTGGTAAGTAGATACCACAGCTCGAAATAGATTCATGGACGGTCGACCAAGTATTATGTTGTAAGTGGAAGGAACATCCAACACCAGAAAATTTATTGACCTGGTGGCTCGCACGGGCTCCATACCCAACGAGATGGGAAGGCAGACTTCTCCTAGGGCCTGAATTGTCTCGCCCGAGAATCCCATCAAGCTGGTCTCCACATATTTTAGCTCAAAATTCATATTCATCTGTTTGAAACAGCTATAAAAGATGACATCTGCAGAACTTCCCGTGTCTACTAATATTCGTGCGATATCAAAGTTGGCCACCATAGCTGTGATTACCAGGGCATCTGTATGAGGTTGCTGTATCCCCTCCTCATCCACCCGTCCAAACATGATGGGAGGAACTTGCGACACCCTCTGCACCTCGGCGAGCTGTGATTCCATCTCGTAAAATACTTGCAAGTTCGCTCGGCTTGCCAGATCGGCCGCTTCCACTTCCCCAAACAGCTCTTCCGTTTCCCTTAATTGCCTTAGATGGGCCCTCCGGGCCCTATTTGAATCACCTCCCGTAGGTCCTCCGTGTATCATGTGGATGAATCCTCCTGTCGAGGGCTGCTCCTTTCTCTTGCCGGCCTTCTCTCGCGTATTTTCAGATCGGTTAACACCGGGTCTAACGTGCGGGGCCAACGTGCTCGCCGAGGGCTGTCCAGGTTTGACAAACTCAGGCAAGTTTTTTGCTCGAATCAACCTTTCTATCTCGTCCCTAAGATGCTGGCACTCGTTCGTGGTGTACCCGTAATCATTATGAAATCGACAAAAACTTCCCGCGACGGGATTTTTCTTGGGAACATCGGAGTAAGTACGAGGCCACTTCAATTTGGGGTGGTTCTCGATGGCCATCAGTATTTCGGCAGGAGGCGCAACCAACGAGACGTAATTTTCGAATCGAGGGCCCACTCTTCTCTCCACTAATCCCTCATTTTTGGCTGAGACAGGTCTTTGCATCTTCTCCTCCCTCCTTTCTTTCCTTTTATCCATCCCTTTATCAATAGCCTTGCCCTGCTCGGCCTCCTCCGCGTTCATATACCGCTCCGCCTTTCTTAGCAAATCGTTAAACGACAGAGGGGGATTTTTGGATATGGAGGTAAAGAAATCTCCAAGTCGCAATCCCTGGGCTAGGGCGTTGATCAGGACCTTCTCCGAAGTTATTGGTACTTCTAACGTCGCTGTTATGAAACGCTTGATGAAGCTTCGTAGATGTTCTCCCTCCCGTTGTTTGACCGCGAAGAGGGTCAAATTACTCATTTTCTGCTTTTTGAAGCTCGCAAAATGATCGAGGAAAACAGAGGCGAGTTGATCAAAACTGCCTATTGAGGAGGGCCGCAGCTGGCTAAACCACGTTTGAGCCAGTCCCGCCAGAGTGGTAGTGAACACTCTGCATTTTACCCCCTCCGAAAAACGATGTAGGTCTGAAGTGTTGTTAAACCTACATAGGTGTTCATTTGGGTCCGTGGTCCCCAGATATTCATACGTGACTGGTGGAAATGATCCCGGGAGTTCGTCATTTAATATTTGTGCTGTGAAGGGACTCCTCTTGGTTTGGCCCTGCTCTCTTTGCTCCATCGCAACGGGGGTTGGATTCAGCAACTCTCGCTCCATAGGAGGCTCCTCTTCTGTCCTATCCGTGTACCTCAAGCGTCTTTTCGTGGGTGGCAACCCCTCTTGTTCTCTTCTTTCACTCGGCGACCCGCCTTGCACCGCGGCCGCAAGAAGGGCTTGAAGTGATTCCATGGTTAGAGTTACCGTGGGGCCAGCAGCTGCCGGGTCCGGAGTATGCAGGACCTCCACTTGCTAAACAGAAGTACTTCCTAGGTAAGCTCTTTGTATATCAGGACCAAGCGCTGGACTGACTTTGGCTTCTGCTGGATCAGATTAGCCATCTCGATGGGAGTATCTATTTTTCTCTTTTTTTTTTTGGAATGGGAAAGGAAAAGATGATTTTGGAAAGGTTTTTGGCTATTTTTATTCAAAAGTTTCCCACAGACGGCGCCATTTGATTCAACCAAATAAGTTGATGGATCTTCTAGATCCGAATATGTTGGTGGATCTTCTAGATTCTGCAAATAAGAACACAGACAAGGAAAACCGGGCTGAGGCCGGAGTTAGCACTCCGGCGATCAAGTCAGTATATTTCTGGTTTAAGAGACACTGAAGAATAAATTGTATGTTTTTTGGTTTAGAAAAAGGATGATCCTCAGTTGAATCAATCTCTTACTATTTATAGGAAGAGCTTCTAAGAACGGACTCCAAATACGGATTCCACTTCTATTTTAGTTGTCACCTCAAAAATATTCCAGACTTCCAATGACTATTAAATTAACTTTACCTGTCTTCTCGGTGAACAGTGTTATGAACAGTGTTGTGAGCTGCTTATTCCCTAGACTGCATATTCTCTGACATCTTTAACACTTGAGGAGAGGAGCATTAAATACGAGTTGATTGTCTCAGATCTCATAGACCATATCTTGTAACTCTCGCCTTTGCCTTCTCGCTACTGAGAGAACGACCTACCTCTCGCACCCGCGATCGTCTTTCGATTAGGTTTCCTAGATAGGCCCAGAACATTGATTTACCAAATCATCTAGTCTGTATATTTTATGCTATTCCTGACATTTGAGAAGACATGCATTAAATGTAAGTCGGCGACACTGATCCTCTTTATGGACCATATCTACTGTTCCAGTCCTCTCCTCTCGCATGGGAGCTCCTCCTTTCCTCTCGACCACAATTGGGCTCCCGCGAGATTTCAATTATTGGGCCCTTACCGGGCCTTCCTTTAATGGGCCAAAGTTTAACTTTTACCGAATCAATCGCGGTCAATGCTATTCTCCGACGTTAACTTTTTTTTTCTTTTTTTTTTAAATCTTTTATTTCTGCTTTTTTTTTTTTTTTTTTTTTCCGCTGACTGTTGACAGTACAATTACGGTATACAATAACATTACTGTCAACCACATCAATATTTTTTGTTTTTGGCTTTTTTTATTTTTATTATTTGTTGACCACTGTCTACTATTGTAATATTATTGTCGTTGACATCAATTTTACTGTAAACAAAAAAATATTGTTGTGGTTGACTATAATATTATGGTCGTTACAATACTATTGCTTGACAATATTATTACTGTCAACCACATCAATATTAATCTTTTTGGCATTTTATTATGTTTGCATTTGTTGAACGGTCAGCGTATTAATATTACTGTATTATGCAATAATATTGATTTTTGTTGTGTTAATATCAGTGTTCTAAAAATTGGCCGAGGCGGCCGATTAATCGGTCTCCGAGGCGGAGGCGCGCGGTTAAAAACCTTTACGATTTTAGTGTAGAAGTTTGAAAATCGATTTTTTACCCGCGAGGCGGTTTTAGGCGGTCTGCGGTGGTCAGACCTTTATGGCGGGTCAAACTTCGGTGGCAAAAATCGGTCAAAAATCGGTTTTTTTTTTTTTTTTTTTTTTTTTTTTTAATTCGAATTAAAAGTTGGGATTTTAATATACAAAATATGAGTTTATGTTTTATTTTTTTTATGTTAATTGTTATTGTTAAAGAACTAATGATGTATGCTAGGAATGTTCAAGAATAAATGTAAATTCAAAAGAATTGCCTTTTTATTTATATTTTATAAGGATATTTATGTATTATGATCTTATTATTATTAAACTTTTATTATTTTATTAGGATATATACACGATGGAGATATAACTATGTTTAAATATCTTTTATATATGTTTTGAGTATTTATAAATAATATCTAGAAAGATATTATATTAAATTTCAAAAACCGATTTATTTCCGATTTATCACCGATTAATCACCGCCGCACCGATTAATCGTGAGTCGGTCCCTGACCGTCTCCGACCCGATTACCACTTTTTAGAGCCTTGGTTAATATTACTGTGCTAGAGTATAATATAGAAATATTAATGTATTCAGCAGTAATATAGTTAACATTACCGTCAACCACAGTAATATTGTAACGTCCACTACCGAAATACACTACTTTTTTTTGGACAATTTAAAATAAATACAATGACTCTCACTTAATTAAATCAAATACAACTGGCAACCAAAGTTCACAACTAATCTCGTATACAGAGTTCATGAATTACAATCATTCTTAAACTCATCACTAGATTAATCTCTCTAAAATCTCTGAATAACTTATTCTCCTAAGAGCCTTCAATGTAATCGTCCACTAATGCACCTGTTACTGACAATAAGAAGGTAAATAAAGGAGGAGTAAGTCCAAATGGACTTAGTGATGCGGGACTAAGGAAAAACAGTAGAATCAAAATAATAAGCACAATAAGAAATCGATGGAGAAATCGGACTTGATGTTGGAGTTGGACCATCTATAGAAGGATTTGTTTGATGAGGGAGAATAGGCCAAAGTAAAAGGTACAACAGTATGATCAGAGCAAACAATACAATCAATATGTACAAGTAGAGAACAATATTCAATGTGTAATTTTCGGATATCAATTGTGAATTTCGTGGAGATTCCCACGGTAAAAATTTTGAATATCAAATAAGAAGACCATGGAGATTCCCATGGTAACAATTTGTTCATGTACCTGTACTTGCCTTCTGACTCTCTTAGCCGTAACTACCTTACAACACCGATCAAGGAGCTACCCTGCTAATCAATCAATAGGATGCCTGGGCGCATGCCGATCCATCCATCAACACAGTTAACCTCCAACTATGTCACTGGTCTAGATCCAATATGTGTACTGCCGAAGAGACAATCCACCGTTGGCCCAATACCGCCCAGTAGTCTTTTTCGAACAGCCCCGGGCTCAACTGGTCAATTATCCTTAGGGCGTCCCCAAAGGATTACAATCATGTATAGATATCGGATATGCTTCCGACTATCTCAATTCGCAGTTTGAATCCCAATGATGATTCTACTTTGTAAAGAATAAATATCATAGTTCAATAGTTTTGGGATTCCAATAAGTGACTGATCACGATTATTTTATTGGGATTCCAATAAAGGTGACAATACTTTTTGTGACAATACACGAAATCACTATTCAAGAAGGGTATGGTCAACGGTTTTAATAAAAGAGTAACCACAATTCAAGATTGTATAACAACGATTCAAGTGAAAGTAGAAGGATACGATTTCAATAACAATTGGTGAAATGGATCTCAATCAATAATGGTCTACGGTTAGAATTGAATCCATAGAATTGTATAGCTCGAAAGACAAATGGTTTCAAAAGATCAATGGGGAGTCAAGATATGAACGATCCAATACATCAATCTCAGTAGTTACGAAACAAATGGTTTATTGGATAAGTACAATAATCATAAATGGTCCAAGAGTCAGGAAAAAAGAACAACGTGCATTCACTGAATCAATGTATAAACAAATCAAATGATTTAATGAATCATAGTAGAAGTGGTTCCAACTAGTATACAAGTCAAGATGTAAAACGATTCACAATTGATAGAGAATCGGACTGAAACTCCAAATTATTCAAGAATCGTTAAAATGACTCTATTGAGTAGTCAAAGAATATGGATGATAAAGTTTTGGAATAATTCTCGAATCAAGACGAGAACTTATTTGAATAGTTCGAGGAAGAATATACGAATCATCAAGAGGATTCTGAATAGATCATTACTTTCAACAATTCGAGAATCAAAATATAACATGATAGGCAACAAGTAAGATATATCTTATTTAAGTGATCAAGAAGAAATAATGGATATCTCATTCTCAGTGTGCATTCCGTTTTTTCCAAAAAATAAATAGTGAATAAATAGAGATTCTCACCTGGAGTCCAACACTAATGTTATAAAAACACCTTACTCTCGAGTCACGCTCAAGCCTTGAATGAGAGCTTTAGTATGCTTAACACCTATCAAATATTAGACTTTAATACCATTTCAAATGCTAATATAAGCATATTATTCTCCAATGTATCACATACTTATTCCTTATAACATACATTAATAGTACTTATTCAATTTCTTGACAACTCGTCTTCTTTGCCTGATTCCGATGACCATCTGATTCGACCACCATCGGAGGCGACCTGATCGTTGTCGCCCCTTGCTAAAGCCTTCTTCACGCAACCTAATTCTACAAATAATTTTAATTGGGCATTTCCTAATTAAAATGTCAAATTCCTTTCCTATACCCCAGTCCCCCAAACCGCGTTCATGAATTCGATTTTTCAACTAACTTTTGGGATTTCAGCCAAGAATTGAGAGAGAGGAAGAGAGAGCAGGCGAGAGAGAAATAGATTGATGCTGAGAGAGCGAGAGAGAGGAGTTTAGAGAAGAGGATATGAATCGATCGCCGTGCCTTTTCTTCTTTCATGATTTATTTCTACCGTTTTGGACACTCAAGTTCTTAGAATTGTTTTGGTGATTTCCTGGTGATGATTTATTGCTGAGAAGGTCATAGTTTATATACAAAGGAGTACAGTGTAGGAAGACACTATTAATCAGATGAAGATGACCAAGAGAAAGTCTGACTCATCAAGTATTCTACGTGGATTTCTCTCAAAAATCCCATTTAATTAAGGGAAAATTTGCTAGACACCCCTAATTTTGGACTTATATTGGTGGAGATCCTAGTTGTTAGATAAATACTGACATAGGTCATTTGACCCAAATAAAAAGTATAAATAAAATAAAATAATTAGTATATAGTAAACACCCTCAATTAATAAGAAAACAAATCTCATATATCACTCATTCTCTCTCTCTCCAATCT